AGCGGGCCCTCCACTCTCCCATCAGGAACAGTGAACAAGGATCTTGTAAAATACACAGACCGAAGGAAAATGACCCTTAGTGACTGAAACCAGCTGTGTCAGGCTTCTCGCTGTCTCTCCTGATTTGCTCTCTCACATAAATGGATGTGGTAGAGGATGAGAGAAAGTAAACAGAATCATTTTTTCTCTCTTGCAGCCACACCTCAGTAAGAGCCCTGGTTTTTATAGCTGAAAAATATGTTTATTTGCTCATTAATTTTCCCCTCTCTCCCTTGCCTTTTCTTGGCATTGAGTAGAATGTTATTTAAAAGAAGACACAGTTCAGCTTCAAAAAGAAAAATCATTCTGCAAAATACAGCTTGGACTCATTTAATGGTTATTCATCATCCCTGAAAGAGTGGGGTACAAATATCTATATTTGGTATACTTTAATGATTTAGACTGCAATGATCCGTGTTGGCACGAGGATACAGGGAAGCAGTAGGCTCTTTAGGACTTTCAGAAGTGCCCCAATCATTTATTGGCACTGCTTTCCTTCAAAGAGGACACAGGCTGGTGCTTGGACAGTGGACTCAACCCCAAGGCCTGAGGTTCTCTAAGGGATGCTTGAAAGTCTTCATTTCCTCGCTGAAGTGTGTGTTTTCTCCCCCGTGCTGAAAAAGCTTTGGTTTTATGCATTTCCTTCAGGTAGTGGCAAATAATGATGTGCCTAACGCAGTGCCTGGCACATAGTAGAAGCTCCATCAATATTTGTTGAAGGAATAAATAGGTAAATGGAATGTTATGAGCCTTGCTAGTGTTATTGTCTTGGCGTGAAATATGCAAGAATAGACTTGAGGCAATCAAGTAATTTCCCTTAACAGGACAAGCTAATTATTTAAGATGAAGATCTGGTGCATGGTATTTATTTGTCAGGCTCCATTTGCTCCTAATTAAAGGTGGAAAACTTGTTTGTAGCATTGGAGGGGTGACATAGTGACCCACTACTAAGCCGCTTTTCAATTTTCCGTACCACTTTTCCAGGGAAAAGGTATCAAGAGAAAGTGAAGGAACATTCCTTTTGTTTCTTTACGTTTTATTTTTTCTGTTATCACTTTTGGGAGGGCAGGCCGGGTATGGAGCCTGAAGCTCTTTTGATAGTACTTCTACTGCCTGTCTGCCTCCATGACTTCTCTACTCTTTTCTGCTGACTTTGGTTGACCGATGAAATCATCCTCCCAGACAGATAGCACCTGCAGCGATCCAAGATGAAAATGCTGCATCCTCATGAGCCTCAGAAGTTTCTTTCATTCATTCATTCATTCATCTGTACAGTCATTCCAAAAATATGAATTTAGTGCCTACCATGTACCAGGCTCTGTGCTAAAGCTGTGACTTTAACAACTGAGTAAAATCCAACGTGGTTCCTGCTCTCTGGAAGCTTACGGTCTGGAATCGTTGATGGATATGAATTGAATAATCATATTAAAAATCTTAACTACAAACTGAATTAAAAAGAGGAATATGGCCCTACTGGGACCAGGCAATAGCAGGAATTGATTTTGACCAGGAGACCAGGGAGAATTTTACTAAGGAGGAGCCAAGAGCTAAGAGCTATAAAATGTCTGAAGAGGGGCGTCTGAGTGACACAGTCGGTTGAGCGTCCCACTCTTGGTTCTGGCTCAGGTCATGTTCTCATGGGTTGGGGGATGGAGCCCCGCATGAGGCTCTGGGCTGGGCAGGTGGGGAGTCTTCTTGAAGATTCTCTCCCTCTGCCCCTCCCCCCACTCATGGGCACTGTCTCACTTTCTCCCTCTCTAAAATAAATAAATAAATCTTTTTAAAAATAAAAATAAAATGAAGAAAGGGAAAGAGCATTTCAGGCAAGAAGACTATCAAATGCAAAGGCCTGTGGAGCCTGCGTGGGAAGAGCAAGGGCTGATGGGAAGGTAGGGCCACACCCCTCAGTGTCTATGCATAAGCCATAACGTCCTCTGAATTAGAAAGACCGAAGGGTCATAAACCCAAGGATAAGGAGGAAGTGGGAACAGGAAGAAGGGACACATGTACTTTATCAGATTGGTGGGGGAAGGCGGGAGGGGGGAATACAAGTATCCATTCTTTACAAATGTAACAAAGGAGGTGATCATTGTAAGCCCAGGATCCTTTGCTGCACTGGAGCTTCCTGGAAATTCTTACATTCACGCTTCTGTCTGCCAAGTTTCAGAAAGAGTTTATCTGGATCTTCACTGTGTGCTAAGTAACCATGCGCTGGACCATGCACCAATGGCATCTTGTCTTGTCATTTTATCGTAGACCTGTCTCTTCTTTCTGCCTTTCTTTTGATGATAAGGAGGTGGCATAACATAGTTTATAACTGTTTTTGGCAAATGTGTATGGTATGCCTTCCGGCACCTTCTTTCTTGGTTTAGAGAACAGGCTGTGGAGGTAGCATGCCTCTACACCTCTCCAGTGGTGTGTGAGCTTAAGCAGGGGGCTTAGCCTCTCTTTTAGCCTCGCAGGATTGTTCTAAGGATTAAGTGAGACTGAGGAGTGGTGTGCAGTGACTGCTCAAGTAATGCCAGCCATTGTTATTAGCTAGATTCACTCATAGAGAAAGGTGTCGAAGATATACTGTTAAGGAGGACAAAGGCAAGTTACTTGGGGGAGTGGAGCTTCGCGGGAAAAGGGTAGGCAGGTGGCTTTTAGTCTTTCACCCCATATTCTTGTAGGAGTTGGTTTTTTTTACTACATAGCTGTATGTTTTCATAATAATGAAACTACAAAGAATAGTTGAGGAAGTTTATCAACACTACCCGATTTCAAAAAACAGCCAAAAAACAGTGATTTCAATATAATCTTTTTCATAATTTTCTTCACCCTTAAGTTTGGAGATGTCATTTGGAAACTTTTCTTGGGATAAAGAAACATGTATCTGAAGTCCAGCAGTTCATTTTATTTTATTTTTTACTTCTTTTGCTTAGGTCATATTCAAATAAGAATCTTTAAGTTCCATGCTATTATTATCCCACTGTGATGAAATTATTCTACTTGTTCCTCCACCTCTTTCCCAGGGATTCAGGAAGCTTAACTTCTTCGGGATTACTATGATGAAGGTCAGTAGCTGATACTCATGAAAGAGGAAGCAAGTAGGCTTAATGGTCACTGAATCTGGATGTAGGAAATGTTTTCAATGATTATCTAATCTTAGGATAGAGTCTGTCACATATCCCCCTCCCTCTTATTTTATTTTTCTTTTACAAGTGGAGGTTCTTGGACGCCTGTGTGGCTCAGTCCATTACGCATCTGCCTTCGGCTCAGGTCGTGATCCCAGGGTCCTGGGATCGAGTCCCGCTTTGGGCTCCCTGCTCAGCGGGGAGCCTGCTTCTCCCTCTACTCCCCGCTTGTGCTTTCTCTGTTGCTATCTCTACCTCTCTCTCTCAAGTAAATAAATAAAATCTTAAAAAAAAAAAACAAGTGGAGGTTCTTTGTATTTAACTAAAGATTTTGATGAATTCAGTTGGTATTTATCAATAGCTTACTCCACCCAGTCGAGAGTCATTAATATTGTACAGGGCTGGAGCATGGTTGCTTTGACCCTCATTTAAATACAACTCTTCCTTTTTGCAGTGATTGCACATCACTGTCATTAATCAGATAAGAATACAAATCAGGAGAGAGCTTTGAGTCCCCTAGCAAATACTTCATGGAGCCTGTGTGAGCTTGCCAACCAGACTATCATCACTGCAGAAGATATGTTTCCAAGGAATAACTGTATTATACAGTACTTAGCACATTGTGCCCCTCAGGATATGATGATAATTGCCTGTGTACAAGAAAAGGCAATTTTCAAGAAACTGTGACTAAGTTGATTACCAACTGATTCTTTAAATCGGGGCCAGCAAACCATGGCCCGTGGGCCAAATTTGGCCCCCTGCCTAATTTTGCACAGCGCACGAGCTAAAAATGGTTTTTACATTTTTAAATGATGAAAAATCTAAAGTAGAATAGCATTTCATGTCATGTGAAAATTATATGGAATTCAAACTTCCTGTTCCTGAATAAAGTTGTGTTAGAACACAGCATGCTCATTGATTTACACACCGTCTACCGCTGATTTGCCCCAAAAGAGCAGAATTCAGTAGTTGTGACAGAGAGCATAAGGCGTGCAGTAGTAAAAATATTTACTATCTGACTTTTTATAGACAAGTTTGCTGATCCCTGCTTTAGATTCAGGTAGAAGTTATTTGTGTGCACGTCTGTATGCTTGTTAATGGATAATGCTTTTGTGTTAGAAATATGCCCGGTGATACGGCCGTCAAAAAAGTTGTAGAATGCAATCCAAATCTTTCCACGTCCCTCACTTCCTTCCCAAAATCAGAAGAAAGTTATTGTGTGAGAAAAATTAGGTTATCAGGAGGGACTATGAGAAATATCATGGTAACAAATCGAGAAGACCTACCTACTGCCTCTGAAAGTTATAGATCATGAATCCAATTGGAAGTCCTAAAATAACATCAATACTATTCCTGTACCCTGAAATTTGAAGTTATTTCCTCTTTGTGTTCGAGAAGTCTTTTGAGAGGAAGAAATCTTTTATTCTTGTGAGCCTTACAAAACACAGTGCTGTATCAGATGAGCCCTTTGTTCAGTGACATTATCATATTAGTTTTATTTGGTTTATATTTACATTCAGCTGCCAATAGGATACGATGAATAATCGATAGTAGGAAACTAGTAGGAAATACCTTTTAGGAGACTGTCTAAATCTTGACAGGGTATCCTGCTCATCTGCCGTGACAGTTGAATTAACATTTCCAACTGACATTGACCCTCCTGCCTACTAAGATATATATGGAAATTTGAAATTAATATAAAAGTCATACCACCAACCAATAAACAATTACTAGCAGTAGTACCATAACATAGAATTGAAATATGAGTCCTTTTGATTCAAAATCCCTCTTCTGTACACGACTGACCTCAGTTGTCCCCTCTTGTTTTGTTCTGTTTCAGAGGTTGAAGGCCGCGTTGACTCACCACCCAGCTGCCATGTCAAATGGGAATATGAACACCATGGGACACATGATGGAAATGATGGGCTCCCGGCAGGACCAGACGCCACACCACCACATGCACTCACACCCACATCAGCACCAGACACTGCCAGCCCATCACCCATACCCACACCAGCACCAGCACCCAGCACACCATCCTCACCCTCAACCCCACCACCAGCAGAACCACCCACATCATCACTCCCACTCCCACCTTCATGCACACCCTGCACATCACCAGACCTCGCCACACCCACCCCTGCACTCCGGCAACCAAGCGCAGGTAGACCCTTTTATGATCTCTTTCCCCCTTGTTGTTATCAGTGCGAGTTCTAATGCAGGGTTCATTGGCAGCAAACTGGTTTGATGAGCTTGGGTGTTCTGTCTCACTCTTGGGGGATCTCTGTTCTTTCTTAGGAAATAATGGCATCCTATAAGACCCTCCCAGATCCTAGTTTCTAGAAACAATATGATCGACGTCAGGTCTAGTCTCCGGGGGCAAATGTAAACTTCAGTTCACCAAAATCTGTTTTTTTGCAGTGTGTTACAAAGGTAACTCTAAAAAAGTAATACTGATGGGAGGATTAGGAAGAATTGAAGCATCTGAAGAAAGATGTGAATAAAGAATGGGAAAAATAAGTTAATTCTAGCCATGGTTTTAACTGCAGTGCTTTACAACATAGAGACTCAATTTTGGCACCTGTAAAATGAAAGTTAAATACGATGGGCAGTCTTCTGAATAACACTAAATGCTAAAAAGCTAAAGAATAACAGTTCCAGGCAGACAAAGGAGCTCGGTAATGGATGATAGGCCATAAGGTGCAGTGTAAATGAGGAAGAGAGGTGACTCATGCCACCTAGTGTGAAATGTGTTGGAGGGAGCAGAGAGCCAAGCTCTGTAGATGGTTGGTTCTAGAGAAAGGCCAAATCCCAGGGGTGGAGAGTCACCAGAAGTGGCTAGAAAGAAAGCCAGCATTTAGACACAACTGAAGGAGGGTTGGGGGACCAGGCAGACGTTATGTCACCCAGCCCAAGAAGAGAGGCAGGTCCGTGTACCTGAGTAAGTTTTAGTAAGTGGATGAAGGGCATGTCTAGGAGCATGGCTAGCCCTAGACACTTTGGATCTTCAAGCAGGATGACCTTTGTCAGTCCCCTCCACCCATTCCACACTGCCAGGTTCCAACCAGTTGGGTCAGAATGGTATTGGGAGCTTGGAATCGCCAAATAACACTTATTCACCATCTCCTCCATCATCTGCCTCCAGACCTCACCCAAGGCAGTTTGGGAGCTTTAGAACCCTCTCCTCTAACACACACCAAACTTGGACGGCCATCGACAAAATGGGTCATTCACAAGCAACTCTCTGATCTGTTCAATAGATAAGCTTATTCATTAGGTCAGCTTACTTTTGCAAAGGTAGTTAGAGGAATTCTATATAGCAAGTAAGAGTGCAGGCTTTGGAGTGAGAAATCTGTAAATTCTTTTCCCACCTTACTTGCTGTGTGACTGTGGTCAGTTAGCTAAACTCCCTAAGCCTCAGTCGTCCCATCTGCAAAATGGGGTAATAATAGACAAAACTCATCAACTTTTAGGAGTATTAATAGAATGTCTGTAAAGCCCTTGGCACAGGAATCAGTACATGTTAGCCATGATTAATTCCAAACTGAAGTAATATGATAGACGTTTAGCAAATAGTTCAGCAATAAAATGCCGTCCAAAGCATCTTTTTAGTCAAACGCCATAGTAGGACATGGAGACAGTTAGAAGGGACAAAGAAAACTAGAAGTGCAAAGATAGGCAAATAAATTCACATGTGTACTTACTTTTTTAAGGAAAAGGATAGCATCAAGTTTTGGTTGCCTTGTCGGCTTAGTTACTTCACAGACAAGTTTAACCGTTAGTTGAATATAAAAGCCATTCATTAGCTAATTACCAATTAGCCAGTTGCCCTCCATTTCAAGTCAGTAAGTGGCCAATTGTATATGCAATTAGTTAATTGCATTATAATTAGCTACACAGTTGCTTTTTAATCCCATAGGGCAAGAGTATAGGTTGTTCTTGTTAAAGTTTGAACAAGATCATTCAGACAATACTCAAAATGCCACTCTTAAATTATGTGAACTTGGCTGATTACTGAGATCTTGTCATATTGCTTAAGCATACAATGATTAGAGCATTAGGAACAGAAGTTTATTAAGGCCCTCCCAACTGGGAGATTCTAATATGACTTGGAATAAATTTGTCTTTATGAAATAACAATTCATTATTTTTTTATCAAAAGCTTCAGAGCATCTATGCCAACAGAATTCTATTTTAAAAATAAAATAAGTAGCGGGGTGCCTGGGTGGCTCAGTCGGTTAAGCGGCTGCCTTCGGCTCAGGTCATGATCCCGGGGTCCTGGGATCGAGCCCCACGTCCGGCTCCCTGCTCAGCGGAGAGCCTGCTTCTCCCTCTCCCTCTGCCTGCCTCTCTGCCTACTTGTGCTCTCTCTGTCAAATAAATAAATAAAATCTTAAAAAAAATAAAATAAAATAAGTAACAATAATTACCAGGGACATAAATTCTGGTCTTAGGGTTCTCTTGCACATAAGGATGTGATTTCAGAGTCCTGGTGTCACTCCTCAGTCACTAGGAATTTCTCTTATCCAAACTACACTTTGAACCCTGAACCTGGACTGAGCCTGAAACTACCACATAACGTACCCCCTTGGGAAAAGGCACAGAAGTGTCAGAGATAAAGGTTGGTTGAAGTTGGGGTGGGAGAATACAGTATCAAATGCAAGGTCTTGGCAATGGAGATTCAAACCGTTTTGCCTACTTGAGAATCTTGTGCAGACATCACAAATTCTCAAAAAGAAATGGCACAGGCAAAAGTGGCCAGGTTCACAGGTTCCTTCCTAATGCTTTGCTTTGAGGCAGTTAGCTCAGCAGCTAGCATCTGAGATGACAAGTACTAAACCTTTGCCAGTAACAAGGATGACATCTTCACCAGCCACTTCAACAATTAATTCATTTTGTTATTTCTCTGTGATTGGGAGGAAAGGAATCACCAATAAGCAGTTTTAGAAAATGTCTCTGGTTTAAATAAAATTACCAAGATGCAGTCCAACTTCAGTCCTGAGCCTGATTCTTCTACAGTGAGTCATATGAGCTTTGATAGAGTTTAGGATTAAAATATATCACTTTCAGTCAGCCAATGTCAACCAGTAACCATTATTAGTGCAATTACAGTCATTCTGATTGATTTCAATCTTAGAACTGGAATGTGGTAGGAAAGGTAGCTGCACTTTCTTTTAAACACTTTTTCTGCCTGTTATTTCTGTAGGTTAAATGTCTCTTGTAAAACAGCTTTATAGATATTATAGCCATAAGCCTGAGTGACTGAGAAATGAGAAGGGGAAAAAAAAAACACCCTTTATGGAGAGTGAAGAAAGGGGGAAGGAGTGCGGTGCATTAGGGAAAGCATTAGGTGTCCAGACACATAAAGAGTCAGTCTTGGAAATTTCACTCAGTGCTGTGTGTCTGCCTCATGGAGGGAAATAAAGCTATATGGGCAGGACTCTCCAAAACTTTAGGCACTGCTGAGCCCCTTGCAGCTCTTAGAAGGAATCTGTAAGTATAGTAACACTTTTTGATGAAGTGCTTTGCCACTCCTAGGGTTTCCTTACAATGTAAGTATCTGGTGATTCCCAGCCACCCCTCCCTGTAGCACAGACAGGTGTATTACGGGGCTCAGGGTTGCACCGGGCATCCATTGCATAAAAGGCCTGTCTCCGGCAGATCTCCAAGGAGCAGATGCACCCATCTGGAATTTGCCGGTCCCGCTAGGCCCTTTGCATTAAGAACTCTGAAATGGCAAAAATAGGCTTTCAAGCTGCTTTCTGGGCTTCAAAGGGTTCTTTTGGTAGGAGTCACAGTGGTAATGATGTCCCAGAGGTGTGTTCTAGCAACACGGTTTTAACACCAGGAAAACGAAAGTTCAAAACCTGCCCAGAAGGAGTTTTCTACAGATGACAGAAGACTCGTCAATATTGTGACAAGAGCCCTGATCTCTCTGTTGTCACCTGTAGCCCTGCATTGGCACGTTAAACCTTTATAAAACGCACCTTAAATAAAACATGTTTAACATCTGAAGGAGAAAAAAAAATATATTTCCTCTGCCATGATTCAGCCAAATGCCTGTCAGGGAAAAATCTGTTTGACTCTGTTTCACAAGTCATTTCTGTGTCTTGCCAAAATATCACAGAAGATAGTTTGGCAGTGCTTTTTCTTTTCATGAGCATGATTTCACTGTTGACTTCGTTCTTAGAAAACAAGTTCGATCTGCTTACTAAAGCAATCAGTTCTCTGTGCTTTGTGTTCCAACACCAGCTTGGGTTTCCTCTCTCACCCAGCACGTTCCTTCTCTGTCCCCATCCCCCCACTCCGTCTCGTGCCCACAGGTCTCACCAGCGACACAACAGATGCAGCCAACCCAGACAGTACAACCGCCCCAGCCCACAGGGGGGCGCCGGCGAAGGGTGGTGGACGAGGATCCCGACGAGAGGCGGCGGAAATTTCTGGAACGGAACAGGGCGGCTGCCACCCGCTGCAGACAGAAGAGGAAGGTCTGGGTGATGTCACTGGAAAAGAAAGCAGAAGAACTCACCCAGACAAACATGCAGCTTCAGGTGCAGGCCGCTGTCTCTTTCCTCGGGACTCAAAGGCCCTGTGTATGGTTGGCATTTCCTGCCCCCGGCAGGCGCTTGTTCACCTAAACAGTAATACCACAGAGCAACTGCATGCAGGTTTACTCCCCAAGCTTTATTCGAGCCGGGACACTGCACAAAACAAAATAAGCATTCAGTTTTAAATCAGCCTACCTACAAAGCTCTGATCAGGGAGAACCTGCCCAACTGAGTTATAGGGCCGTGAGCACAGGCTTTGGTCAGATGGAGGTTCACACTCTTGTTCAGCAATTAGTTGTGTTTAACCTGGCCCTCAGTTTCCTCATCTATAAAATGGGAATAATAACCTCATAGAGTCGCTGGGAGTCATAAGTGAACTAATGTCTACAAAGCAGTTCCCCGGTACCTAGCACATAATAAATCTTCAGCCCAACGGTAGTTCTTTATATTCACCAGGGAGGGGGTTGCTTTGCCTTCCACCAGATTACCTCTGGTTTGGTTTAATGGAGGAAAGGAACGTTTATGGTTATTATTTTGCTCTAGAAGAAAAGACATTATTCCCATCTCATTTGCAAACTCAACAAGATTTGAATCTTGTGGGATTTTTCCCTTTCGTGGGTGGCTCAACAGGGGACATTTTTCTAACAAGGCCCCTTCTGGGTGCATTTGAGAGAAGGGGAGAAGAGTCTAGTACCAGGGCCTCTCCAGCAGACTTCATGCTATACAAATGATGCGTTCAGGAATCTGTTCTCCCATGAAAAGGAATGCCCTGTCCACCAGCAAAGAAAGAGCAACTAAATAGATTACATGACAAGTATGCAGAGAGAGCAGTAAGAGTTAGGGATTGTAGCCCAGCACTTCTAGGAGCACAGAGAAAGGCTGAAGAGTGGAGGGAAGGGGGAAAAGATTGCCCCAAATAGGGAGGATCTGTACCTTAGTAGTTTGTAGGCTCCCTTCCCCCACCTGGTTCTCTGTGCATCCTTAGAAAGGAACAGTAGGGGTGCCAAACCCCCAAAACTTTTGCATATTCAGTGCATTAAATGGAAATGGCCTTGGAGCAGCCAATGTATAAATTGCAAATATATAAAGAAATTTTGGGTTATGCATGAACTGCATATGGATGGTCTCATTTTCCCCTAAATTTATCATCCTTTTTGTGATAGACATGAGAAAGAAAATGGGAAACATATATAGCAGATACGGGGGAAATACAGTAAGCAGTCCTCCCAGTGGCTTCTATGTGCATGAAGGTGGGAGCTGTGTTTTATCTTATTGCCTTCTCCCCCTACTCTCTACCCCCTGTTTCTAGTATAGTGTCGAGCTAACCTGCTGAGTCCCTGAGTGTCTACACTCAATATCTGCTTGTTGAATAAATGAATGAGTTCCCTATCTCTGGAGTGTCCAAGCACTGACTGCCTGACCACTTGGCAGGGAGTCAAGCCACAGTGGGATGGCTGGACTCTAACACCACGAAAGTCGTTGCAACTTGAAAATCTGTAGTTCTAGAATCCCCACAGCCACAGTGGTATGTGAGAAGCTTTTAGGTAGAAGATGGTAAGCACTTTTAACATTCAGAGTAATCATGTTTTTATGTTTATGTGTATTGAAAAATGTAATTAGAACATCAGGACTTCAGTTTCATAGATACTCTTGGTAAGGATGAGGCTAAAATATTGAATAATGAGTTAATTTGTACAAACATGTTAAGTCAATAAAAACTCTGGTGCATGTGGATCTAGCAAATATTACAGACACTGGCTCTGCAATGACCGAAGTGCGGAAATCCCTGGAATTTGCTACCAGTTCTGAGGTTTGCAAGAGGACCGTGAAAATGGGCAGGATTTCTCAGTCTTGGCACTATTGAATTTGGGGCTTGATAATTCTCCATTGTATCCTGTTCATAGTAGATATTTAGTAGTATCCTTGACCTGTACCCACTAAATATGAGTAGCACCCTCTACCCCACTCCCAAGTTGTGACAACCAAAAAGTCTCCACACATTGTTAGATATCCCCTGTGGTGGCAAAATCAGCCCTAGTGATTGAAAACCACTGCCTTAGATGAAGGAGCCATGAATAGCCAGCTGGCACATATCAGATGCCAACAAATGTTTAAATCAGTTTTAACTAAAATGAGTCCTTGCAGAAATATTTCAGCGTATTGACTATGGTGCTGGAGCTTGAAAACAGAAAGAGATCATAGCAGAGATCCAGGAAAAGTGGAGATGCTGGTCTACCTTGTGGTCAGATATGTTCATGACTTGGCATATGCCTCCATGTTATTGCTCTTACAAAACACATAAGGTAAATTTACCCTTTACGAGACCCTAATCCATTAATTTCCACCACTCTTTAGAACCATACATGGCTAAGGAAAAAAGATATTAGAATTCTAGCCCCCGAAAACGAGGGGGAAAAAAGTTCTATTTGGTCTATCAACAGGCACCGGTATTTTTGGTTGCTAAAGGAGTGCCCGAGGGAAGGAAGGGACAGTCTCTGAAAAGACTAAATTCTTTGTGTTTTCCAACCACTGCTTTGCTTCAGAGGGACAGAAACCACAGCCGTTCCGTGTTTTCAGTGATGCTGAGTGCTCTGCATCATGCCTTGTGATGCTGGAGCGGATATGCAGATTCTGCTACCTTTGAATGACCCTTTCCCTCCTACTGGACCTTTGTCAAAAGAAAAAGGTGTCTCTCTTGAGGCTGGTCCAGTGAGCCAAATTTTAAGTAAACAGAAATGGAAGGTGCTAAGCAAACAAACTCTAGCCAAATGGAATATCCAAGGTCTGGATGGCCAGCTGCCACTTTTGAGTTGTTTTTCAGCTTAGAACCTTTTAGCTGGGCTGCAGAGTTTCAGATTGGAAAAAATCAGACCTAAGAAAACAAAATCAAACTCCCAGACTTCATTTCCTTGTCTCACAACAAATCTGTACCCAAGAGGTCAACACAGGTATAGGAATTAAGGGACATACTAGAAATCACACGATCTGACGTTTTTGTATAGGGAGAAACTGAGGCCAGGGGGACATGAGGGTCTTCCTGAAAGTCACACTAACAGCACGTAGTAGGAGGAGGACCCAGGCAAGTCTTCTCTTGACCCAACCCATTGCTCTAGGATCTTTCATTGTAGAGAATTCTTAAACTAAAGGAACCCGTGTGCTTTTCTCTGACAGAGTAGCTAAGATCAGCTCTGAATTCATCAGCAACTGATGGGGTGCTCAGTGGATTGTTTGTGTGCAGCAGACGATATGGAAATCATCTGGTCGCCCATGGAAATAATTGCTTTTTTTTTTTTTAGTGCAAAGACACATGGCCTAAGTCGCTGCTGAAATTTTAGACACATGAGCCCAGGTTTGGGACTTGGCAAGGGAATAGGCCAGATGGGAACTGTTGCCTTACAAATTGAAAGTCCTTTGTTTTAGCGTGAACCAAACCTGGCCTCAACTAATCTACAAAAAAGAAAAAAATAAGCGGGGAGGGGCTATCTTGTAGGGCCCATTTTGATAATTATTTTTTTGGCACAGACTACTGCTTGCATCAAAAAGCATTCTGGGTTTATCATTTTAACAAAATGACATCCCCAAAGCGAAAAACTGCAAATGTAGCTATTAGGGACTTCTTGGAGTACTTGTTTAAAGTATGTTATTATGGGGTTGAATATCTCTAGAGGGGCACTACTTCCTCCCCCAGACAACCTTATGGGTGAAAGAACAGATTAATCCAAAGGCATCTAGCCTCCGACAGTCCCTATCACAATGGCTAACTGCTTTAGGGTAGCAAACCCAAACGAGGTTCAAAAAATGAAAAAATGAAGGGCTGTTTCAACAGGATAATTCATACCTGATTATTAATACTTGGCTTTTGTAAAGTACTTTTACACAAAGACCTAGAACAATTACTATAACCCACGCAGGGGAGTAAAAAAAATATTGGTGATTTGCCTCAATTCTTAAAGCAAGGTAATTCAGAGTAAGAAGGTGCCTCCGGAAGGCCTGGTTTTTATTTCCCTACTAGAGCTGCAGGCAGCATTTTATTTCTTTCATGCATTTTGAAACATTTGCTATCTGGTGATTCTCTTCCAAAATGAATTCAAGGTGATTCTACTTGTGTTCCCTTCAAAAGGGTTTTTATTTAAAATCTAGTCTGGCATCTCCTTTGGCAGTCAGCGTGGAGACTGGAAGATGATTATGTGTGCGCACGGCCCACGGTCCACCCTGCTTTCTCTAGGGCAGTGATTCTCAACCTTTCTTAATCCAAAGCCTCCCCTGTGGAATCTGATGAAGGCTTGACAGGCTCTGTCAACAGTGTGGACCTATACGAGGATGCGAGGTTGTGTGCTAAACCAAAACTGTAGATAGAGCTTTGCAATCTGCCCTGATAAGATTTGGAAGCACACAAACTGTGCTCCCTCAGGAAATGCGAGACTCGAAATATAAGCCTATCTGAGAATACCAAAAGCAGTTAACTAATGAATAAAAAGTAAAGATCGAGTCCTTCGTTCGATTATTAGGTAGTTAGCTTTCTCCATAGAAGGCAAAACAGAAACACTCAAAGAATAAACACCTATGTTGCCGGCGGGAACTAGAGAACTAGTCCCACGATCTTGTTTTACGTTAGTTTGATGTGGCAAGTGGGGAGGCGCAACCATATTATTCTGAAACCCCTGTTGAGAGCTCTTTTTCCTGCTGGAAGCTGCCCCATGAATTTTGTTGCTTCTGTGGCCATTAGACTTTGATTTCATCCTTATCAGCATCATGATTACGTGTGTACGATCTAAACAAGAGGCTGTTTGTTCTTCTTTATGGAGAATATTTATCAGCATTCATTTTCCAACCGTAAGATAACTAACATAATTACTAACACATTACTTTAAGAAATATATCCTTATTCACATATATCTTTCAGGTTCCTACACTTTTACAGACCCTCGAAATCCTAGGTCCTCAGTTCCTATACTTACAACGTATAAAGTGCTTTGCTATCCATAGACAAAAAGTGCCACTCAAGTCATCTATTTTATACGGGGCTTTGACACATATGCTGTTCATAGCGGTGATTGGCGCTGTTTTATTGTGACCTCTCATGGAAGCAAAAGGTTTATTGTGAAACA